TAAATATCACTTCTGTTGACGAATAGACAGACAGTTAACAGACTGTGATATTTATCTTTTAGTCTGTTTAACTGTATCGATATATCTATCAGTTTGTTAGTGTTTTTTAACTCTTTATCTTTCTGCTTAAGGAGGAGGCTCGGATTGAGGAATCGAAGAGCCGAGTTCGAATTCCAGTTGAATCCATTACATTCACTTACGCGCTAATACCCTTGGGAAAGGTATGAATCCTTTTCTTCTCCCCCCCCAGCTATGGTTAAATAGCAAGGTGGCACCTGGTCTACCGCAGAAAGAAATGGTAACCTACTGCGGAAAAATCTACCTCGTCAGACATGTATTGAAAGATACATGATCGCCTAAGCGTGTATCACGCATGGCACATAACTGACTGATCTGCTTGTTTAGTAGACAATTAACAGACTAATAGATAATTAACATGCTAAGAGATAGTTAACAGTCTAAGTGATATCTATCTATCTATCTAAGCCCGTTCATTATCTATCTATCTATCACTCTGTTAACTGTTTATCTATCTCTTCATCTGTTAGATATATACAGTTAACAGACTAAGAGATATACAGTTTTTTTTTTTCTTTTTAAAACCATTTCACCCCAAGCAAAGCAGGAGGGCCACTAGCAGGCAGGGGGTTATAGAGAGTGAAAAAAGAGAAAAGACTGGGTATAGGTGGAGATTAGAGAAAGGATAAACGATGAATAGGGTTCAAGTAAACAGAAGATGGCGATTGACGTTCCATTTAAATTTTTGAAGATCGTAGTTATCACGGAAGAAAGTAAATGGGAGTTCCACAGTCGGTAAGTGCGAGAAAAGAAACTGCTGGAGTAGAAGTGGTGGTTGCATTTAGCTATTTCGGGAGTAAATGGGTGGGATCTGGATGCCAATCGAGTAGCACACTTAAATTCATGTAGTCGGGACACCAAGGAAAGATGTTTGTCAGTGCAGTCGCCATAAGAATATTTATAGAAAAGACAGAGGGAAGCCACATCACGTTAGTGAGAAAGTGATTGATGTCAAGATGCCTGGCCAGGAGCGATTACATTACAGCCATATTTATGCCTTGTCAATACCTCATAAATAATGGACTATTCCATTTTGATCACAAAGACAGATAAAAAAAAAACCAAACAAAAACAACACATATCAAAGACACTGTTTAGTGTCAGTAAGAAAATGAATGAAAGAAAAGGAAAATAGAAGTGGCAATAACATTCATTTTACCGGTTGCTTCAGTGAAATGGAAAAACTTGTCAATTTCAAATCTTTTCCTTTGTACTCTCTTACTTCTTGAAATAATGACTTGTATTCCTAATTGTTACTGCAATATTTTGTTAAAGTTGGTAAGCTCAAATATTTAACAAATGCAATAGGGGAATTTCCAAAGGTATTTTATTTTCATAGAACTCACAAGGAGCTTATTCAATCATTAATTTAAGATTTATTAGAAAATGAAAGAAATAAAGAAAAGAAGGAGAGAGAGAAGAGGTGGTAACTCTCTCTTGTGGTTAGTCTGTTTCAGTGAAATGGAAAAACTTATTTCAAATCTTTTCTTTGGTACAAATAAGGGGAATTTCCAAAGGTTGTTTATAGTCATGGAAACGACGCAAAGAGCTTATTTAACCATGAGACTACTGAACTTGAGAAACCTATTTTTCTGAAAATTTGTTTTAATAGAAAGATTTTAGCCATTTCAACTGAAAGCAGTACTGACTGCCAATTTGTCAATTTCAAATCTTTTCATTTGTACTCTCTTACTTCTTGAAATAATGACTTGTATTCATACTTATGATTGTTACTGCAATGTTTTGTTAATATATACGTATGTGTTGGTTTAGTTTTTTTTTTTTTTTTCATCATTTCACCCCAAGCAGGGCGTGAATTCCACTATTACGCAGCGGGGTACAAGGAGTGAAAGTGAGAGAAAAGACTGAGAATAGGGAGGATTGAGAAAAGGACAGAAGATGAACGGGATTCAAGAAGATAGAAAATGGCGATTGACGTTGCATTTAAATTCGAGAAGATATAGTTATCAGGGAAGCAAGTAAACGGAAGGGAGTTCCACTGTTGGGAAGAGCGAGAAAAGAAACTGTCGGAATAGAAATGGCGGCTGCATTTAGCTATTTTAATAGATGGGATCTAGATGTCAATCTAGTTGCACGCTTAAATTCATGTATTTGCAGCACCAGAGAAAATAAGTAACAGAAAAGTTGCCATGAAAATATTTGTTGAAAAGATAGAGGGAAGCCACATCATGTCTGTGAGAAAGTGAGTGAAGTTGAGATTAACCGACGAAGAGATACACAGATATGTTAGTCTGTTAACTGTGTATCTCATAGTCTGTTAACGGTTTATCTATATATCTATCAGTCTGTTCGATGGGCAGTTAAGACTAAAATATGGTATCTATATTTTAGTTTAACTGTCTATCTATTTTTTAGTTTATCTTCGTTTTTATCTAAGGTAATAACGTGAAAAAATATGAACAGTGATAGATACATTGATAGAAACAGCCTGAGACAAAAGACTGGGACAAAGACAAGCGAATGCAATGACTGCTCTGAGGGCAGGAGCATTGTGTTCAATCTATAGAAAGCCCGATTGTTGGCTTTGAAAATCAGCAATCAGTACTTTTGCCTGGGTTCAAACACCAACTGCACATGTCATCGGTTACCACGTCGCTCGCTAACGCATCAGTTAGAGAGAGAGATAGAGAGACGTAGTCCCCTCTCTATGTAAAGGATGGAGGCCGAGAGAACATACTAATATACAGAGAAGAATGGCAAAAGACGTACCCAAAAGGCTAGGCAGATTATTACGAAACAGGAGGGTTTCGTTGGTAACAAAGAAAGGAGTATTGAATTGCTACGTGATATCTGTCCTCCTTTACGACAGCGAATGATGGACGGTATCCTCAAAGATGAAAAAGAGACTCAAGGCAAAAGAGGTATGGTTCTACAGAAGGATGCTAAGGATACCATGGACCGAAGATGTGAGCAACGATGTTTTAGAGAGGATGCAAACAAAGCGGAAACTTGTACATAACATCAGGAAGAGGCAGCTGAAATTTCTGGGACACGTAATGAAAAAGGATGGCCTGGAGAATCTGATACTCACAGGGCGAATAGAGGAAAAGAGTGACAGGAGAAAGCAACGCGTGACATGCTTAACGGGCCTAAGTGGATGGCAGAACAGGGTTTGGGAGAAATAACAGAATGACAAAACTTATTGAGAGCTACAAGGGACAGGGAGAAGTGGAGGGCTATGATCGCCTACGGTGGAGTAATGGATAGCGGCTTGGATTGAGGAATCGGAGAGCCGAGTTCGAATTCCAGTCGAATCCATTACATTCACTTACGTGCTAACACCCTTGGGAAAGGGGTGAATCCTCTCTCTTCCCCCTCCAGCTATGGGTAAATAGCAGGACAGATTGGGTTCTATAGCCTTGGATGGCAACTGGTCTAGGAGAAGGAAAACTCTGAATTCAAACCTGCGGAGGGTGAATGGAGTCTCTCTGAGCCTTGGTTGGCAATCCATTTAGTGTTGGTGTCACGATAAAAACACCCTTGATAGCCCTAGCGAAGCATCAAGAATTTTGCTATTTGACAAGATTATGAACTACACCAATCAAAGTATTGGTGAGTTCAATCTCGGCTGAGGCCGCAAGATGAAGATTAGATGACGTCTTGAAGGGACAAGGCTCATAAAAGTGAGAATAAGATAGATTACATTTTTTTTATCTGTCCTTGTGATCAATTTAAGATTAAAACTAAGAGAGATTACATTAATAAACATAGTGCCTCTATCTAGTATAGACAAAACACAAATGTAGATAGAGAACAGAACAAACTAAGACAGTAGATAGTCTGTTCTTTGTCTATCTATTTTAGTTAACAGACTGAGAGAGAATTAGATTATATATATATATATATATATATATATATATATATATATATATATATATATATATATATATATATATATTAATTTGATGGACAGATAAAGAACAGATTTACTTAGACAACGTAGATAGACAGGACATAGATAACGTATATATAAAACATAGAAAGATAACGTAGAGTACATAAATAGAAAACGTACAAAACAGCGAGAGAGAGAGAACATAGATATCGATAGATAGAGCCCATAGATCGATAGACAGATATCACATATAAATCGATAGCAGAGAGAGAGAGATATCACATACAGCAGATAGATCAGATTTATACATCTAGATAAATAGAGAGCGCAGATACAACACATAAATAGAGAGAGCACATAAATGTTTAGACAGTAGACTTAGAGCTATCTTAGTTTAGACAGAGAAGACTTAGATAAATGGAGCCGATTTAAATATAGAGCAGACTTAGTTAAATACTTAGATAGCGGACTTAGATAAACAGATAGAGCAGGCAGAAAATTGTTGTATAGATAGAGCAAAATTAGAGAGCGGACTAATTGGTAGATAGCGGATAGAACAGGGCATATAGATAGAGCGGACAGATAGTACACAGATAGATCAGGTATGGATAAATAGATATAGAGAGCAGATTTAGAGCAAATACAGTAGATAAATAGATAGTGCAGATAGATAGGTTAAGCACGTAGAGGAGACGGGGATAGAGATGTAGATAGAAAGATAGAGCAGATAGACAAATAGAGCAGACGGATAAATAGATTGGTAGCACACAGATATAGAGCAGAGAGATAGAGAGCAGACTTTAGTAAATAGGGCAGACTTAGATAAATAGATAGATAAAGAGAGTGCGCTTAAATAGGTAGATAGAATGAGAGCAAACTTAGATAGATCGATATATAGAGAATAGAGTGCGGATTTAAATAACATAGAGTTGAAAGTAGAATTAGAGAGTGTCGATAGATACAAATAGGACAGCGAGAGAGAGAGAGAGAACATGGTAGATCGATGTAGAGAATGACCAGGCACAAAGAGTTATGATAGCGAGAACACAAACAAATAGATAGAAAGAGAGCACACGTATAGATAGATAGAGAGATAGCAGACAGATAACTGCAGAACATAGAACACATAGTGTAGATAGAGCACAAAAATAGATAGTGTAGGTAGATAAATACAGAACAGATAGTGTAGATAGATAGGTAGGTAGAGCACATGAATAGAAACAGCGCACAGATAGACCAATAGATATATACATAGAAACCTCATAGATAGAACACCGATAGATAGACAAATAGACAGAGCACACAGATAAATAGAGCATATGGGCAGATAACACACATAGATCACACAGATACATAGATAAGACACACAGATAGGATACACAGGTAGATAGAGCAGATACATAGATAGGACACATAGATCATATACATAGTTATGACACACGGATAAATAGAGCACATAGATAATATACATACATACATACATACATACATAGATCACATAGATAATAGATAAATAGAGCACACCGATACATAGACAGACTGGCACACAGATATCTATACAGATAGACCACACAGATATATAGATAGATAAATAGACAGAGCACACAGATACATAGAGCACAGTAATTGATAGAGTACATAGATATAGGCCACAGATATAGATATATATATATATATATATAGACCATAGATATTTCACAGATATATAGATAGATAGATATAGGCCATAGATATAGCTCACAGATATACAGATAGGGCCCATAGATATAGCTCACAGATATATAGATAGGGCCCATAGATATAGCTCACAGATATATAGATAGGGCCCATAGATATTGCTCACAGATATATAGATAGGGCCCATAGATATTGCTCACAGATATATAGATAGGGCCCATAGATATAGCTCACAGATATATAGATAGGGCCCATAGATATAGCTCACAGATATATATAGATAGAGCAGAGATATATATATATATATATATATATATATATATATCTTCCATAGATAGAGCAGACAAATATCCCCCATAGATAGATCGATAGAGCAGATATATATATATATATATATATATCGCCCACTGATAAAGCATATATATAACAAATACATAGAGCAGATATCTATGTAGATAGACCACACAGATAGATAAATAAATACATAGATAGATAGAGCCCACAGATATCGGTAGTGCAGTTAAAATAAATATATAGGTAGATAGATAACATATTTAGCTAGTTTGCAGACTTAGAGGGTAGATATTTTTGATTGTTAGTCTGCTCTCTATCTATCAAAGATAGAGACGGACTGATTAGAAGAACGTGTTCTTTGGAAAAGCGTGCTACTGCTATGTGCATGTGAGATTGTTGTGTTAGTTTGTATTTCAGAAAAGGAAATATGTTTAAAATCCTTAACGCCGTGCATACAGTTAGTCGTTGAATTGCTTCATTCGTGAGGGAGAATTTACCCGCTTTAGAAAGAATTGCAATTTTGTACTTTTTACGGAAGTGTCTTTTTTTTCAGTCTAGATTTTAATAAAGTTTCAGCTAATATGGTTTAAACCAGATTAGTCTGACACACGGCTACATTAATGGGACAACAAGCGAAGCTTCGAAGTCATTATACAAGATAAGAAGTTTTCTTCGAGTCGAACATGCTAAGCAACCACCAAGCTACAGTAGGCGCTTGGAATATAGTCTGTAAATGTGTATTTATACATCTTTGTAAAGAACAAGCATTTCTTGGTTCTGCCGTGTCCGTCAGTGTCTGCTAATACAAAGAACACACGTGAGTGTACACTCTCTACATATATTTTCTGTGTTTTAGGTTACAATACAGCAAATCAGTGGATAATACTGTAGGAAATTGTCGAATGTATTTTTCCGTAGATTGATGACTTAAGTTTAAAACGGACGCCTTGCCATACTTTTTGTTTGTGGATATCTGCAGATTTTTCCCTTTTTAAAAAAGTGTTAAAAAAAAATGGTGAATAATTCAAAAAAGAAAGAAAAAGTCGAACAATTTCTATAAAAACAAAACAAAATAACAATGGATTTTACAAGCGACAACTCAAAGAAAGGCGCATAGCTGCTGAATTCTAGTAGTTGTAACATTTAAATTGTTTTGAGTTTGATTTATATATATATATATATATATATATATAAGCACGAGTCTGGCCCTGATTTTTAACTTTTCCAATATAGATTCTTACTTGATATTTGTCATAGTATATAAAAAAAAAAAATCAATAATCACTTCTCTTTCTCGTGCCTCCTCTCTTTCTCTCTCTCTATGATGTTCCAGTTCTATCTATCAATCTCTCTCGATCCTTCTCTGTCTTTTCTCTTCTCTTTCTCCGTTTCGCCTCCCCAACACGCGGAAAGATCTCTCTTACACTGCTGTCGTACGAGACTTTTACCATTCTCCGTGGGAAAGGCAAGCAAGAGTAAAAGAAAATTTAAGCCTCAGCTAAGAAGACTCGCTCAAACAAAACACCACACACGCAGTTGCATGTCTCTGTGATAGTAACTCAGTATAATATCCTTAGCAACCCAACCGCCGGATGTAATTTATTTATTTATTTACATAAATAGATAAATAAATAAATAAAAACAGAAACCGGTGGCTGTTGTTGAAAGTAACGAACAAATTGCACAATATCAAATGTTGGGATTCTCAGGAGACCGTTGTAGACTTCGAAAAGCGAGGTGGTGATTTTTTGGTCCAAACTATTGCTGTTCATATTACTAATTACTTTTATCTGCAGTGCTTTCAACTATGATTATGTTACGTACAGCCACTAGTTAGTTGTCACACCCACTCGCATACCTTATTTCCTACCTATTATATATATATTTTTTTTTTTTTTTTTTTACCTATACTTACCTTCTTTATCTTCCAAGTGAGCAAATCTCCAGTGGGCACCTCCTTCTTTCTTGTAATCGGCACCTTCACGCAATTTAAGGGTAAGTAATTATTCCATTTCTTTATTTTACTTTTGTTTTCTTTACTACTTATTATTAATTAGAGGCCCACCAATTCTTTGATTACCATTTTGATTAAATTGTTCATTCTCTATTATCTTTTTCTATAAGTTTTTAATTATTTTGTCCTTAGTTGTGTTGGGGAGGGGGAGCAAGACTCATATATTGCGAACATAAAAAAAAAAATAACTTTAGACAACGTTTTCTTGAGGTCCTGGCGAGAGAAACAAAAAGATAAAGCATATCACACGGTGGAATTTTAAGGTTAGATTCAAATGGAAAATTCCTTTAAAATTTTCACATCTTCCTGCTTGTCTTCAGTACAATTTGCGAGGTGGTGGTCACCTGACGAAACACACCTCCTCCCCCATTTTTAATGTCGACTTTCTATAACCATAATGCAGATGGTATTGTCATAAAATTGATTTCCCATATTTTATTAAAATTTGACAACTAAGTGATTTGCTTTTCTTTCTTTTTTCTTAATTTGATTTTTAATTCTATTTTTAATTCTTACAAAAAGATATTCAGCAGATTTTTTAAAACTTGAAAGTTTTTTGTTTTTTGTTTTTTTTTAAAAAGTCTTTATTCTGAATATGGGGCGTTGGAAAAAAAAAAGGAAAAAACGAATATTTTTAAAATAAAAAATAAAAAAAGCAACACTTTTTAAAAAAAAAAATATTCTTGGAATCAATCACATTCTTTACGATATCGATTTGTTATCGTTATCGATCTATTTGCGGCAACTGGTGAAGAATTGTCAAATTTCGACCTGTTTTAGTTTAACTTTCTGGTTAGATTTTCTCACCCCCCTCCCAACAAGTGTCTTTTTTTTCCTGTCACTCTTTAAAATCAACTCGTTTAGATAAAAAATCGAAATCATGCTTTTTTGGCTGTAAAGAGAAGTTACAATACAACATCTACCGACAAATCCAAAATACAGTTTGAATGAGAAAATAAAACGAGTATTTTTAATAGCAGCCAGCAGTATCTTGTAGAGAGACAAAAAAAAATGGCCTGTAGACAGTAAAACTCTTTTAAAGAATAAACTGTTAAAAAATCAAGGGTTAAAAATTAAATTAAAACTGAGGAGGGGTGTAGGTATAAAAAAACCCTTCGAAGCTTGGAAAAAGATGGATTGAAAAATGGATTAACAATTTAACGACAGTAACATTGATTTTTTTATGCTAGAATACAAATTCAAACAAAATATAGTTTTTGTTTTTTCATTTTGTACGAATTAAATAAATCCTTTGTTTGAGTCCAAAAAAATAAAATAATGAAACATAAACTATTAGTTCTTTGCTCACCGGGTTTTAAATAAAAATTTGATTTTATTTAAGTTTTAGATTTAAAATTCATTATAAAAAAAAAAAAAGCAAAAACGAATCTATAGAAAGAAGTCCAAGCGAATAAAAAAATGACCTTATTGTTTCATATTGTGAATTCATCTTTTAAAAATTTACTTTATTTTGTTTAACAATATTGTCCTTTAGGAGTTAATCCTTTTTTTAAAGGAAAAAAAAAACAAAACAGAAAACAAAGCATAAAAATGCAAACGCCAACGCCAGAGAAAGACACGCTGTGGGGGACGGTGGTGTGTGCGTGGGGTGTGTGGGGGGCACCTGAACAATCGCAATGCAGGTAATCCCTACGCACAATATCTCGTGGAAAGTGTTATTGCAGACGAATAATCGTAAGCAGTTCTGCAGACAAGCAGGAAAACCACCCTAATGTAATGATTATTTGCTTTTAAAATTAAATTATTCTTGTTGCTTTGAACAAAGTGTCAGCTGTAATTTTTTTTTTATACTCTAACTCTTTTAACCATATCTGCAATATGAAAGAAAAGGCGAAAAGAAAGGAGCGAAAAATAACCGAGAGAAATAATTCATTCACTTATTAATTAATCAGTTGAAAGTCCTAAATCACGTAATTAAAAACACTTTCAAAAAGGTATATACACGGGATAATTATATTTTTATTATCCAATTATTAAATGTTAGTATATATATATATATATATATATATATATATATATATTAGACATTTTAATATTTCACAACCTACTTTTATTTAAAATTTATATACTGTGGTCAACACCGAGTGACGACAGTCTGTTTCATGCTTGAATGGCCTGAACATTGTGTTCAAGCAGGTAACACTCTGTCGCCACTCGGTGTTGACCTCAGAGTCCACTTTTGTATTTAAATATGCACTTTTAACAATAAATATGGCATACCTTAAAAAAGAAACTGTAATTTTATCACATATCTTAACATACACACACACACACACAAAGGGGTGCTGACAATTTCTTAGCTGACCCAGTTTTCCAAATCTGACCAGGCACTTCTCTTCCTTTCTTCTTTTTTTTTTCTTTTCTTTTGAACAGTTTCATAGTTAGGCCGAGAATTTATCAGCAGGGTCTCATATATAGATATTCATGGTACATTACTAGACAAAAAAATAATCTTGATAATACACACTCAGATATTCAGTCTAAAAAAAGGAAAAATTATAAGGATAATTAGATAAAAAAAAAAAAAGTATTTCTTAGCCATCATATTGAATGAAACATGCATAAAAAGAAGGATTACTGCATATATATATATATATATATATATATATATATATATATATTTATTTTTAAAAATATGATTCCAAATTTACATAAGAGGTCTCATGTTTCAAAAAACAAGAGCAAATATCAATATAATCCTTTAAATTAAATTGAGTTATAAAGTAAAAAATGGCCCCGTTCCATCTTCAAGCGAAATATTTTAAAACAAGTAAATTTCAGATATACGTTATTCCAACAAAAATTTCGCTTGAAGATGGAACGGAGCCCATTTTACTTTCAACTCAATTTAATTTAAAGGATTATATTGAAGTTTTCAGCTCTTGTTTTGAAACATGAGACCTCTTATGTAGCGATTTGGAATCATATTTTTTAAATAATTATATTTATGCTCTACTTTTGTATCGAGCACTATTTTTAAAAATAATAACTAAAATACTAAGGGACTTTGGATTATTTACCTAACCAGTTCCTTCCTATTTTATATATTTTCACACACACACACATATATATATATATATATATATATATATATATATATATAATAATGGCTATTCACTTATATGCCTGTCTGCTAGGGTGATTGGCCAATCTGTTGAACAAGTATTTTTTTACACCTACAGAGCCCACCTGAGGTTTATACTTCAACTATGCTGGGCATGCC